GGACGGCGTGGCCCTGGATCGCATTCTTCTGTTGAGGATTACCGAAGACCTTACAGTCCAGGAAGCCAAAGTGGTTATGGTTCAGGTGATGGCAGGCGGACACCCACTACTAACAATCCACCTGGGAACTTGTCAGATGGCTACCAGACACCAACAGGTGACAGTCATAAATAAATAAATTGCAATATTTAGAGAGGAAACCACATCAGTTTCAGCTGGTTTCATGCGGGTCCTTTATCCTGGTCGAATTGGAATTTGGAGAATTTTTTTTTGTGGGGAGAGGAAAACTGTGAACTGACAGAAAAATCAACCCACATATGGCACTGGGCCCATGCAGTGTACAATTGTGCATGTAGCTTCTGACTTGCCGGGCTCTCAATAAGGGCCTTAACCCGTAACACCTGCTAGGCCTGAGTATGTTTAATGGGCCCTTGATGTCCTGGGTGAACGGGACTATGGCTAATACAACTCACCTAAAAGGTGACAAGTTTGTTTTGGGTGGGAAGATCAAGGAAACAGTGGACGCAAAACTTAGTGACAGCCTTGACATGTGTATCAATGTTGCAGTTTTGTGACATTCAACAGCAGCAAAGTTACATTCCTGAGCAAGGGCTTACGAATGGCTTCCAAACGGCTATCTGTTTAAAAACAGCTAGCCATTAGCAACATTTTTGTTCAAGCGGTCACACATTCCATGTGTAATTGAGGATAGTAGGTACATAATAGTTAATTTTGTACATTGTACAGTCATTTACAGTAAGTTAAGTATTTCTTTCGTATACTTAGGTTCACGGCACTCATCTCAGTCAAGTTCAGTCAGTGCTAAACCTTATGGACTGGCCAGTCAGTCGTTACCACGTAGTACATCTTCCACACCTAGGGGTTCATCATCAACTACTATACCACGGACAGCAAGTGCATCTGGACGACAAAGCAGTAAGTTAATTACGTTGAGTATTATTCGTTAACTGAACATCATTTTGAAAATGCATTTTGGCATAATAAGTCATGTCTGATAACCCAGGGCTAGTGGTTTTTCCAGTCCGGCTACTTGATTCTGTCCTTCACTTGCCTGATGGACAAGTGTTTAGTTTCTTGTGAAAATGTTTTCAGGAAATTCAAATTTCAGAAGCACTGTGAGAGATGAACTTTTGGGGTTAGTTAGAAGGATTTTCAGGCTAGGATTCATCATAGTTTGAGCTTACCCAAGCAAGCCTGAAAATTGGTTTTCTTTGCACCCTGTTTACTGGATTTTTTAAAAAAAATTATATCAAGTATGCAAGTCAACAGTCTCATCATGCCAGGAAGAAACATTATCAGTGTTAGAAAATCAAATCCCTGAGGCAAATTTTAGAAAATTTACTACAAAATTTAACTGTGACGAGAAGTTTAATATTGAATAATTCTGTACTTGAGAATGCTTAAAATAGTCTAGCTCACATATAGGGACCCAAAGTGTTTTATGATAATAAGTATTTTGATTGGGAAACCTGTACACCTGGAAACCTTTTGTCCCTTAAAGATGATTCCCAATCCGTACTGTGCACTCTCGAGAGTTTGTTTACGATTCATGATTTGATTCATGCAAGATGTCACAAAATGTGACATTTCACAACTAGTTACATGAAGTGAATTCAAAGTTTCATGTCAACCACCATTAAGGATGGAAAGTTTTCAATACTTCATTCTTTCTGACAGCACTTGATGAAATGACTTCATAGCTGTAAAAATCAAAGAAACTGCTAGAAAAAGAATTTAAAATGTCCCAAAGATAAGGTAAGCGGTTCCTAACGAATAACATTGATTCATCAGAAACACTGGGGTGTTGAGACTGCATAGTATGGACTGGAAATCATCTTTAATAAATGTGCTTCAGGGCAAGAGGGGGATATCTCCTAATGCATGTTTTTTATGTATGTGGGCTAGCACAGTGTTGGCTAGTGTCAGAAACTTCACATGTGAAGTACTTTTTCATGTTGTTTTTGCTTCTTTCGTACATCATCATTCATACATTTTTTCCTGAGGAATTACAATATTTCCTGTCCAAACGTTATTACATGTAGGTATTGACACGTTATAATAATATTGTTTTGTTTTTGAGAACTTATGAAGTAAACACAATTTTACTTGAGAAATCTAAAGCATCGGATGTGGCAAGATGT